ATCGATCGCATGCCAAAGGTATTTCGTAGTTTGCGTTTTTCGGCTGCTTTCGCTCGCGCATGAATTGTGGCCCACACTTTATAAACATGCTTTATTTCTCTCTCATAAAGCATTCTGAAGCTGGACGAGAGCTCCAACAGATGTTTGTATACACGATTAGTTTCTGTATATATTTATTTTTGTTTGTTTGTTTAAACTTAGTTGAAAGTAACTCTGGGTGGGCGGAGTCGGATTTCATTTAGAAATTTATTGAAGCGTTCTCTCAATTTCTACTTGTATCCCACAAATTTATGTTTTCAGAACTCAACTTATGTTTTTTTTTTTTAATATTTAATATATTTACTTAATATTTTCGCATATCTAAAATATAATTTATATGTATTAAGAACTAAATTTATTAGCTAGCCTTTCATTTTTTGTGTATCTCTGAAATTTTATTTACGTTGTTAAAGAATTCAATTTAAAAGGCGGCTTTAAATATTTTTATATCTCTGAAATATCATTTATTTGTTTTAAGAATTCAATTTATAAATACGCTTTTAACAATATTTTTATCTCTTTAATATAATATATGATATAAGATAAAAATCATAAATTAATAAAATAAATTAACCCTTGATACATAATTTGTTAAAATTTTTTTTCTTTTATATTAATAATTACATTTTTAATTAATAATAATTTAATAATCCACAGGCTATAAACAACTTCAATCGAAATCAGCATCAATCTCTTAGCATAGTTTTCTTATACAATTATGATTATTTTGAAGCTTTGATTGTATAACATTTTTTTTTAGTTGTATACTCTGTTATGGATACGAATATTGGTTTGAAGGCAGATAGAGTGACACGCAGGTTAAGGCATGCCCACAAGTTATTAAAGCTTTATTCAAAAAATGTGTTACCTTAGACTTCTATCAAAGAACTAACAAAATAAACACTAACAAAATAATAACTCGTCCTTAGCTTCAACTAAATATGGCAATAACTGAGATATCCTTAGATCGCAGCTTGAATACAGCACTGTCTTGAAGTCGTCCAAAATATTGTTTTCGATATGTTAAACCATTGCAAACAGAGTATTGCATAGTCGGCTACTCTGAACTATTTATACAATTCAGTGAATAACGGTTAAATATTTAAATTTCGCGCCAAGCAAATATTAAGCAGGTAACGCAAGCAGTTAACAGACAACTGCTTGCATTACTGCTTTTTCAAAGCTTCAAGATTAACATTGAACACTAGGTGGCGGTAAAGCATTTAAAGCAGTGTAAATACTGCTTTCATAAAGCAGCCAAGCAAGCATAAAGCAGTTAAAGAAGCAGGTTGGCGGGCATTTAAAATTATATTTAAAAACATTTCGTAAAAAAAACCATTACGCTTTTATTTTCTAATATGAAAATTCATTTATGGATGAAGTTAAAATATGCATCTTTACTTTTTGGCTAATCAACTTAAACTTTCTTTTCTTTATTGGACAAATATGGAAAGAGAAATACAATTTATCTTGTGTCCAGGCACATGACAAGAACAGTTCGAATTGTCTTCAACAATTGATTAATTTTTTGAATTTCCACTTAATAGCAGTGTATTTAACACCATTTACTGTCAAAGTTCGTCGAACTCTTTATTCTTTTTACATTTGCAGTGCTTCCATAGAAGACAGCCCATTCCCGTGGTTCTCAACCTGATGACGAGGAATTTTTAATGCTGCTTCTACGCGATTCCCCAATGAAAGTTCGCTTTGCCGGGCGCTCGTTTCGGCGAAAAGTTTTCGCTGCTGCCGAGCGAAAATCAAATCGAATACAATTTTCAATTGAAAGTCATCCAGTTGCAGTGCCGTGAGAATTTTGACAGCTCCAGATATGCGATACACTCGCACACACTCGTACAAATTGGCCCGCATCGGGTTCAATGCGACGAGTTCGAGTTTAAGGAAGTAACCAGCGTCGCTTATCGGTGACTAACTGCAGAACCCAAAGAACCCAAACAAAAAAACAGCAAAAAACTGAAGAGCCTCACAAAAAGAACTTGCCTAGAACAGCTGAAAAGCAGCTACCAGGCGGGGCTCTATCAGTTAGATAGAGATACTCTGTAAAGTGGAAAGAACTTTGAAGAATTGTCTTATTTATGTTATTAAAGTCTAATTATATTATTTTCTATATAATTATTAAATGACATTTGTCGAAATTTTCGAATTTACTTTTCTGAATGAATGCCAACAACCAATGGAATACAACTTTTTTATATGATACATTTTTAGTATTTAATTAAAATGAAAAAATTAGTCTTTTTTATGTATCTTTTTATCGTTGAGTACAGTATAAAACAATTTAATTTTTTTTTTTAATATATGAGTTCCAGAATACTTAATAAGCAACAGGCTTAAGAATTAGCCCTTTCTAAGATAAGTTCTCTTTAAAAGATAAGCAAATCTCAGCAGAGTATAAATTCAAGATCTTGTAAGAGAAGAACTTAGAGATATATTTAAGTCTTTATTTGAATTGTCAGTTATATTTATTTAATAATTAAGTTAAATATTACCAAACTATCTTTATAAACGAGATCCTATTTAAAAGAAAATTGAAATCTAGTTAACAAAAGTTTGCAGATGCAATTTATCTTGCATCAAAAAACTTTTAGCAATCGATTTCAATTTTCTTCAGTTAAGCTGAAGATCTTTCAAACTCGTTTTTCTTCACAAGAATCTACACCCATTATGTAAAATTGTTCTCTATTCTCTCGACTATTTAATTATTTATATTTCATTTTTGTTTTTGGCTTCTAGAATTACACGTAATGCACTTTGTGCACATGAATTGAATGTGTTTTGGCCATGTTTATGAATATACAAATCGGTTTTGGCCTGTGTCAGCCAAGTCAACGTTTTGTTTTGGACGAGTGCAATGAACGCTCAATTTAAGTCATATTTATTATTTTTGTATTATTTTTTAATTGTTGTTCTTTTTGCTGCATTTTATTTTTGGACTCTTATTTGTTTTTGTTTTAGCGCGCACGCGTTGTGCTTTTTGTTTTTGTTGTTGTTCTCTTCTTATCTGTCATTGGCAAAAAAAGTGAAATAATAATATTGTTGGGAGTTGTTCTTGTTAGCAAACTAGTTGCAGGTGTGTGCGTGTGTGGGTGTGTATGTGCGTGGATTGCCTCAGCTGTGCTTATCAATTGAGGCGCTTATCAATTGCTGATGATTAGTAAATCGCCGTGTATGTCCATGTTGCAACAATACACAAGGCGGGGCTGCAACTGCAGCTTTGTGCAATTCGAGGCCCAAGGAAGCAACCAGAACTTGCACAATTCGCGCAGTGTAGTCATCGATATCGATAGCTACCGATATCAATCTGTGATTGTTTGACTGATAAGCTTGACTCGCCCGCCAGCCTGGCTGCAATGAACGCTTATCGTGCATGTGCAGGCGCTGCGTATGAGTAACTGTTTACGTATAAGCATAAACAAACGGTAAACTCGCGCACACCTTAAAAGAGCCACACAACTTGACCTAAAAAAGGGCAGATTGAAAGCGGGAGCGAGAGCGAGAGCGAGCGGCCGACTCACTGTTGGGGTGAGTGAGAGCCAGCGACGACTTTTACAAATCGTTGCATTTAAATCAACAAAACTACGAAGCGTGCTAATTTTTATGTATTTCATAACCGACATTTAATTTAAATATAAGACGCAAAAGACAACAACAGCACCAACAACATGTTACGTGAAAGCTCAAGCGTAAGCTCCCCGCCTGCGCTCACGCCTAACGCTCTCTTTTGGGCTCAGTCACGCATGCGCAACAAAGCAGTGCAGCCAAAGCGCTTCAATTTATTTTCTTCTAAACAGCAGGCAGCCTAAACACAATTCAAAGTGCGCAAGGCAGTTGTGCTTTTGGCTGGGTGGGTGGGTTGCTTGTATGTGTGTGCGTGCGTGCTTAGCCGGCTATGTTGCGGGCGTGGTGCTGTTTGCTGTTGTTGTTGCTGCAGTTACTGTTCTTCTTGCTGTTGTTGTTTTTGGCTCCCCGACTCCTCTCCAAAAAACAAACGAAAATGAAAGCGAGCGCACACGAATTTGAAGTCGTTTCGGCAGCAGCGACGTCGGCAGCGCTGTTGTTTAGCTTCATGTGTGTGTGTGTGCGTGCGTCGCTTTGCCAGACTGTGACGTCACAAACTTTATGGAAAGGCAAACTGCTGTGTCACTCGTGTAGAAGCAATGGAGAGAAATGATCAGTGGTTAGCGCTAGTAATAAACTAAGAAAGACTTAATACTTGAACTACGTACATATGCTTAATATGTCGCAAAGAATAAACCGCAACTGTTATGATCCATCACATGCATTAAAATATATGTACGTAAGTCATGTATTTTATAAATAATACCAAGCAACAACGTATATGGTTACAATCAGTGCATTAATATAGTATGAATATTATTTATATTTGTCTTCTTTTCGTCTTATTTTCGACATAGCACTTTGACTTTATTCACACCACACATTCGCAGCCAGTCAAAGCTAAAAGCAACACCAACAACTTGCACGCTAAGTAAACTGCCTTGCATTTGTTGTTGTTGTTGCAGCTCTGCTGCTACTGTTGGTTTTGGCGTTCCGTTGAGAGTAAAAGTGATTGGGAAAAACTTTTGCTTTTGCCTGTCGATCGTTTGGTTGCTTGGCTCTTTGCACTCTCAATTTGTGTGTCTCTCTTTCTCTATGTTTGTCTGTGTCTGTGTGTGTGTGTTGTGCTTTGGCCTGACCACCATCCACAGGTAGTTGCTGTAAAAGCAGCGCAGTCAACGTCTCAGACGACGAAGTCATTTTGGGGCTTTTATGGCGCTTTGCTCTCTTTGCCAGTGTGTGCGTGCGTGTGTGTGTGCCTGAGTTGCTTATTTTTCGGCCGCTGTTGGCGTCGCTGCTGCGTTTGCGTCTCATTTTCTTTGCGCTGCTGCTGCTGTTGCTGCTGCGCTAAAGACTTTTTGTCACAGTTACAATTTACCAATTGTAAGCAGCGGACGCGAGCGCGCAAACAGCATACAAAAAGCTCGCACAGCTAAAAGCGCATAACGGTTCTTCAGGAGCAGCCTTCTAATACAAAGCGTCCGCGTCGGCGTCAGCGTCAGCGTTAACGTCGACGTCAGCGTTGACGACTTGTAAATAAAGAAATACTCGCATATAAAATCTGTTGCATCATTGCTGAAACACTTCAGTCGCTGAATCGCGTGCGTGGAGGCAACACTTTACGCGACAACAACAACAACAACAAAGTGCAACAACAACTACAACACAAGAAGCAGTGCGCGCAGCTGCAGTGACAATTTCAAGCGGCATCCAATAGAAAAAAAAACTAAAAAAAGTGTTTTTAAAATAAAAGAAACATGTGCTAAGTTAAAAAAAATAATAATATTAAGTGACTTAAGCAAACAAAACAAAAGTGCAGTTGTCAAAAAATGTGAAGCAAAAAATAAATAAAACAATTAAAAAATTTTAAATTGTTTTAAAAATTTAGAATTTTGTTGCAAACATTTCCAAAGAACAGTTTACCTCAAATAACAACAACAAAGACCCTAAAAATGATTTAGCGGCTGCCAAAGGGATAGAAAGCAAAGTTTAATAAACCGCAATCGCCACACGCTGCCCGCCGCTGCCCGCCCCCGCGCAATATTGCAAATTGGAATACAAAATAAAAGGCATCAAAATTTTACCCTCATTCGCAAACCTCAAAATGCTGAACATGGAATCGCCTCAGATGTACGCGGATGCGGTGCAAACGCTGGCGCAGCTCGACTTGAAGAAGCAGCCGCAGCCGCTGCCGCAGCAGGCAACAATCGGCCAAATTACACTGACGGCGATGTCCAGTGCACAGCAGCAGCAGCAGCAACAGCAACAGCAACAGCAGCAACAGCAGCAGCAGCAGCAACAGGTGACAACTGATGCGAACAACAATGCAACAGTTCAGGATGCGGCGCTGCTGGTCAAGCAGCATGCGATGCAGCAGATGCAGCTGAACACCAACAACAACAGCAACAACTTGCTACAGAAACAAATGTTGCAACAGTACAGCACACAAACGGATCTGGACGAGCTGACCACACAGGAGATAACTTTGGACTTGCAACATTTGATCGACGATCAGTTTCGGGACACGGAGACCTTGGGCATATTCAGCGATATGGTGACCAGTCCGGGCGGACTATCTGCCACACTGCCGCCCAGCGGCATGGTCAGCGCGGCGGCCAAAGTGTTGCAGCAGCAGCAACAAACGCTGGCCAATGCGCGCCAGCAACAGCACTCGTATGGACGGGCAGCGCTCGCGTACATGCCGCAGGCGGTGCACTCGAATGCCACATACAACAATCACTCGAGCGACGAGAACAGCTCCGTGGGCAGCGATTCGAGCAGCACCATCAAGGAGGAGCCCATCGATCCGGAGTATCGCAGGCATCTGCAGGAGTCGGTCAGCAGCCAGGCGGCTGCGGCGTTTATCAACAACAGCAATGGGCTCTACAATGCGTATCAGAGCAACAACTTGAGCAACAACAACAGCAGCAGCAACAACAGTAGCAACAACAGCAGCAACAACAGCAGCAACAACAACTCGACGAATGCAGCTCAATTCACCAATCTGACAACGGCGAATGTCCTGGCACATCACAGTCTGCCGCATCTAACGGCAAACACGGCCCAGCAACTGCTGAAACATCACTCGAAGCTGCAGCAGACGCAGCAGCAGCACGCACAGCAGCAGCAGCACGCACAGCAGCAGCATCGCAAGCACAGCAACAAGCATGTGGACAAGGGCACCGAGGAGTATCGCAGGCGGCGCGAGCGCAACAACATAGCGGTGCGCAAGAGTCGGGAGAAGGCAAAGGTGCGCTCAAAGGAGGTCGAGGAGCGCGTCAAGTCGCTGCTCAAGGAGAAGGATGCGCTCTTGCGTCAGCTGAGCGAAATGACCAATGAGCTTTCGCTGCACAAACAGATTTATATGCAGCTGATGAATCACGCGAATCCCGAAGTGAGTCGCGTCTGTCGCAGCTTTCTCAATACGAACGAACATGCGCTGTAGCTGTGATGATTGACTGAACGAATGAAAGAAAGAGCGACAGAGATAGAGAGAGCGCGAATGCGTGCGAGGAGAGAGCCTGTAAATTAGTGTGATTGTGCGTGTGCGTGTGTGTGACTGACTCAATAAAAGCTGTGTGGGTAGCGTATAAGTCTAAGGATGTTAAAGCTGTAAACAAAACAAACAGAATAACAAAAAAAACAACAACTCGCAGCGCATGACTTGCATTATATCAAAAACAAAAAAAAACTCTGTATATAGGCCACAAATCGATGTGTAACTAGTTTGCAGCATGCAACGCGAGTTGTTTTAGTTTTGCTAAGATCTTTAACCCGACTAGTATAAGTCCCAATTACTCTTCTACTACTACTACATCTTCTACTACTACTACTACAACTACCGCTACTTCTACTTGTTCTTCTACTTTAATTTGAACTTCTACAACTTCTGTTGGCATTCATCTATTTGTACATTATTTTGGCTGGGCGTTTCTTATACTTTCTGTGTGTTTGTTATCATTGCTTCTATTTTGTACTTAATTTTAATAAAGATTGTAAAATACTTTTGCACATTTTGATACAAATTATATAACATAGTATGCATAAGTTAAGCCAAAGAAAAGAAAATGTTTAAATATTTATATCTAATAACTATATACTGTATTTGTATATGTATGTGTATAAATAAAGCAAGCAGGAAAGAAAACATAAAATACAAAACAAAAACAAAAGAAAAACACACACAAAAACCTATTTATGTAAATCTATTTAAATATGCTAAGAACGACAATAACAACAAAACAAAAAAGAACAACAACAACACTGGTGTGCAGCTCGCGCTATGCTTCTGATTGCCCCTGCCACGCCCCGCTTTAGTTGTCTACCAACAACAAAAACAAACAAAAACAACAACAACAAGAACCTTTTATTAGCAAATCTTTAGCTTTAAGCTTAACAATATAAACAATTTCAACTGCTTTTGTTGCACAGGAAAAGAGAAAACCCAAAATAATTAATTAATTAATATATGTATATGTGTACAATTATTGTTACCTAGCAAATTTAATGAGAATGCATACAAATATACACACTAATGAAAAACAACAACAACTACCGAAAAATTTGAAAAACAAAAACAACAAAAAAAAACGCAAGTAAAGGAAAACAAAAAATAAAACTGATAATTGCTTAGAAGCGTAGTTGATGAAAATGCTATTATTTTGTAAGGCCAACGCAATGTTCTCATTTTTAATTTATAAATTAAACGACAAAGAAACAAAACACACTGTAAAGCAACATATAAATAAATTTTAATAAAATTTGTATAGAAAAGGAGCTTTCAATTATTTTCATTTTCAATTATTTTCAGGTGCTTGGACTTGTTAAGTAATCTGAATTGAAATTCATTATTTTACAAATTATTTTCAAGTTATCAGGCGTTCTCTAGATTTTCTCTCAGGTAAATTCCAGAAAATACCAGGCATACTTTTGCGCCTTTGATAAATAATCTTTTTCTTTGATTGTATAACTATTTTGAAAAAGAATCCGAATTACATTAATTATAAATATTGAATCATTTAATTTTATTTAAATCAAATTTAATTCACACAACATTTCAAATCATCAACTTTTTTGAAATTTTTTAATTTTTATCAAAACAATCAATAAATATTATTTAATTTTTTTCTTCGATTGTCCAACTCTTATGAAAAAATAAATAGCTTAAATTTAATGTACACATATATTAAATATTTATCCATTTAAAAATATTTAAATTAAAGGCCCATAACAACTAGAAGCACAAGAGAACATTTATTACAAACTTTAGTAATATAAATTGAATTAAATTTTAACAATTTTCGTTTGTTTATTTAGCTTCCACCCCATTTTAAATAAATAGTATTTTATTTATATAAACAATATTTGTATTTTATTATTTTTTGTAAGTTTAAAACTTAGAGAAAACTCTGAAAGAAAAGCTAGATCTGTTAACAAGATATGCTTTAAAAGTCAAGATTTGCAGGCTAAGCTGCCTCTTGAGTATGTCAAGTTTATGTGTGGATGCAACAAACGGGCAGCTCCCAATTGCAATTGGCCAGCGCCACATAGGGCGGCGGCTGTGGCTAGAGACAGCCAAAAGCCGTTGCCAAAAAATTGTTGAATTAAATGTCTGCCATATTTAGGCGGCAAACACACAAAAGATGCAACAACGAGCGGGCTGCTCGTTGTCCGCTGATCGCCTCGCGATAGCGACAGGGCAATGTATGGGCTGGCAGGCGCGACAAGTTGCCCCAGGGCTACACAGGGTGGCACGGGCACGGGCACGGGTGTGTGTGTGTGCGAGTGCGAGTGAGCACAAATGGACACCCAGACAATTGTAAAGGCGGCGGCTCGGTCCGTCGCGCGTTGACACAATTTGACAGTAAGACAAACCCGAAACGAAAAGCAAATTTATAAACGACAAGCAGCAAAATTAATGCAACTAAAAAGACAAATTAACGCGCAGAGAAAGCCAAACAGCAGCACCAACAACAACAACAACAACAACAGCTACAACAACAACAACACACGAGCCACTGCAGTGCACTGCGGCCCCGGGCCGGGCAGATAATCACTTAAAAACTTTGGGGCTAAGCCCTTTTTGGAGACCTGAGGCGGCCCAAAAAATATAAAAACAAAAAAATGTTATAAAAAAAACTACAACTTTCATTTGAGCTGCGTGCGTTCAATTTGTCTAGGCGCCCTTTGCCCACCCGCCCTTCCCCTTACCACTCTAAGCAGCTGCTCTTGAAGGGCTGCATTGTTGGGCACTTTGATTGATGACAGCTAATTGCAGCCTCCAAAAACGAGAGAAAAAATAAAGGTGAAATTGTCGGCGTGGGTGTGCACCCAGCCCCCGCTTCCACTCGCTAGCTGCAACGGGAGCCGCATGCCACAATTGCAGCGCGACTTTGATAAGGGTTCTAAGCCGCTTACGGTTGAGAGAAAGCGGTCGTCGTGTCTAAAGAGCTGCCGTCCAAGACTTGGCGCACTCAACTCTTACAGCTTGTGGCAAGCCGCCCATCTGTCTCATCCTGCCACTTGGCGTGCCAACAAATTGACGCACAATTACTGCTCAACTAGGCGCCAAGAACTCGCACCACACGGCGCATGAGTTATGAGTGCCAAGTGATAAATGTGCAACAAGCGGCACATAAATTCATTTTTGCATTGTAAATATGCATATTTGCGCTTTGCTTTCCTGCATTTTTTCATTTTTAATTATGTCGCAGAACAAAGGCCAACTGATTGAAGGAATCAACTTAAAGCATATCGAAGAACTGCAAGTGAGTGTGGTTTGGAGAACTTGTTAATTTTAGAAGAATTTGTCAAACTAAAAGAATTGTATAATATAAAATATATCACTGAAATATATCACCAAATTCTCATCAGATCAGACTCAGCATAGGACAGTCTCTTTCTAGGCATATGACCACAGCATCTTTCTGCTGCAGAGAGTACATCGTTCGGAATCGTTCTGATCGGACTAGTACTATATCATATAGCTGTCATAGAGAAGATCGGTGGAAAGTGAGCTTTTTGATAGCATAACTTTTCTGTTTTTAAAGATAACAATTACGAGCTGCCTTCTTTCTGCTCTATAAGGGTATTCAGGCAATTTACATGCCCGATTGGGCTTGGCAATAAGAACAAGTGCATGTTATACAGAATTAAGTTAATCTTTCTTTTGAGCTTTTGCTGGCAGTCTCTATTGAATCAGCTATTGAATCCGGCTAAAATAAGTATTTCAGTCTGTACACTGAAGGATTTGGAACATAGAAACTCTAGCAACAATGCGACTTTGACTGTCCGTCTGGTTACCCATAGCATCTGGAAAGATCCAGGATCAGGCAAATCTGCCCTATTCCAACGTGCGACACAGCTGCGCCTACACCGTGAGTACCTGAACTCAACAATTCCATCTTATTTGCAGCATATAGAGGTACAAAGGTATGAAGGTAAGCTTAATTTTAAGGTACATTTATATTAAATGTGACGTGTCCAGCTCATATATGCAAATAGGTTCATCTTTTTGTTGGAAGCAACTTTTATACAATACAAAATAAATTAATATAAATTAATTAATATAAGTGTGGAATTGAACCCAAAGTCAAGTCAGATAGATAAGCGGAGACAATCTGCGAATAGCTGACCCAAGCAAAATTGCAAATCAGTTTTGCCGCTTCAGTTCAATTTTGATTTTCACACAGAGCAAAGCTTTAATAAATTACAATAATCTTTCTACAAAAATCTTTCTAATATATATAAACTTATATATATTCTGTGCAAAAAAAAAATGGATATATCCATGTGGGTTTTTATAAATATAGTTGTGTGCATAATCGGATTATTTCAAGTTGCAAGTGCTGCTGAAAGTTCGGTAATTCAAGGAGCAACAAGACAAATGTCAAGTGAAAAAGATTAACTTTTAGTAAATATTTATATACAGTTTTGTGCTGAGTCAAAAAGGTTGGATGCAGAGTGCGGATCCTATTGTTATAAGGTATCAAAGCCTTTGCTGCAGATGGCGCCCATATGCCACAGAAGAGATGCGGAGGTAATCGAATTAAGAAGCCAATTGGCGGAGTTGCAGAAAAAAGCGATTTTTGAAGAACGAGATGCACGGAGTAAAGATCAAGTGAATATATTCGAAGAACTGAATGCACTAAAATCTATTGTCAAAGTAATTGTGGAAGCACAATCAAAGCCGAAATTCGTTAACAGCACGCAGAGTTCCCAGGAATTATTCAATACCAAGATGAAGATTGACCAAGCACAAGGCCAAGAGGTTTTACTGAATCCCAAGAGTCCTATGGAGTCAGCGCATTTTATAAGAGCAAAAGAACAAAGGCGATCTGAGGTGGAGGATATTGCCAGGATTTGTTCAGATGTTGTGAGAAACTCTATCATGAGCTAAATATCAATATCCGTGCTGCCTACTATGACAACTTTCGCGTGGCCAGCGAGGCGGAGGGTTATCAACTGAAGGAGTTAGGCAACTATTCAGGCTGCTGTACAACAAGTACATGAGGTTCTCCACATACGATCGTGACAACGATAACGCCGAAGGATTCAGTTGTTCCCTTAAACAAGGCAGCGGCTGGTGGCACAATAACTGTATCAAGATGTCAGTAATTTATTAATTTATTTATATTTATAGTAGTTTAT